CGAAGAGAGTTATTCCCAGCTGGGCGGGCAGCCAAAACTCGGAGAGCGCGCCGAGGCCAGCGCCCCCACCCCCACGTTGGCAATGTCATTGGATCACAATGCGAGGTCTTCCCCTCCGCGACGCCCCCTCCTCCCTGCGCGGCCCGCTCGCCCGCGCCCCTCCTCCCCACCCCTGTCCACTTGGAAAACCCGCCCGCAGCCGGCGAGCTTCTCGGCTTTCAGAGCGGGAGCTGGTGGGAGGTGGGAGGACCCGGGCTGCAGACGTGACCCGCGAGGGACAGACAGACCACCGGACAGACAGACCCCAAAGGCCAGGCCGGCGGGACCCAGGCAGTGCCCGAAGAGGACCAAGGAAATGCTGGTCCTGGAACCCTGTGCCTAGGGCACAGCCGGTTATGTCTCCGTCGTTATTAATGTTGATAATACTAAGAATAGCCTCAACACGGAAAGGAGAGACCTCTGGGCAAAGAGGCAAGAAAGCCGTCCTCTGCGGTCAGTGGTGTCTACCTCCTGTGATCTCAGTGTCTTCTGCAGCTCTGACAGCCCTTGTCCATGAATTTATATAGCTGCTAGGGGACCATGCCTCCCCCCTCCCCTGCCACAGAATGGAGATTTATAACTATCACACATACACACACAGCAGCGTGTGCAAATCCCTGAAGAGAATGGCAAGTTTCCACCACCACGTCCCTCCAGCCACGATTTCCAGAACTCACTCATCAACCCTAGATTGTAACTCTTCCCTTTATTCCTTCCTTCCACCCTTTCAACACCTCCCACACATGCCATGCGGGAGCAAACTGAGGCCCAATGCCCAGGGAACACCAGCCCTCACTGGGCAGGGCCTCCAGGCCCCCAGAGTCTGGGGACCAGATCTGGTTCCCTGCTGAGATAGAGAAGGCTGGGGGTCCATGATCAGTCTTGCTTCTGAGACTCCTGGGAAAGGGGGTTGAAGTTTGGTGGCAGCTGCAGGAGGAAGCTGGCCGCGTATTAAGAGCTCTTAGCTGCGCTGATGGGGACTGCAGGGGGAGGGCCTGGCCCATATTGGTATTTTGAAGGGGGTGATTCATCCTTTTTCTTTAATGCTCTTGGAATGTCGGAGCTGGAGAGAAGCTTAGATTCCAATGCCCACTGCTCAATTTACTGATGAGAAGACTGAGACCTCCGCAGCCGCCGGGAGACGATCACACAGAGTAATAGTTGAGGTTGGCTAGGTGGTCCCTCGGTAGTATGCCTTGTCATGGTGCTCTTTTTCTTTGTTCTTTCTTTAACCTCTGCTCTTTTTTGTTTTTTAAAGTTTTATTGGTGGCAGAAAGTTATCCCCAAAGTTGGCATAATGACAACTGATTATCAGCAAGCTGATGAACAACTCTGTGGTACCCATCTAGTCAGCAGGCGCTTATTAATGGCTTGTGATGTGCCAGGCGGTGTGTGCAAGTCCCCTCCCTGACCCACATTCTCATCAAAGATCTCTAGTTTCCAAATAAAGAAACTGGAGAGTTTAAGCATTTTGCCCAAAGCCACACAGTAAGTGGCAAGGTTATAGGGATAAATTGGAGCTGAAAGCAAAGCTTATGCTTCTTTCAAATACTCTTCCTCGCTTCAAGGACTTGAACACCTGGTTCGGGGGACACAATGTGCGCCACACTGTATGCTGGTAAGTCTCAACTCGAGCTCTGTAGGGGTTCGTGCATGGTAATGTTGCACATCCTGCTATGTACAAATACCTCCTATTTTCTCCCCTCACACCCCCTCAAGGAAGTTACAATGCAATAGAGGTAAGAAATGACAAACAGGGTAAGAGACAAAAGAGGAGTTAAACCATCAAACAAATCAGGGCCAGAAAGAAGAGGGCTCGCAGCCAGAGAGGGCACTTGACTAAAGCCTTAAAGACCAAGTTGAATGTCAACCCACTGAAGTGAAGATGGAGGAGGAAAGGGCATCCGGTTGGGAAAAGCCCTACCTATAAGTAAGGCATGGTGTTGGAGAAGGCTTTGTGCGTTTGAGAAACCGCTCAAACTTTAGCATAGGATAGATCCATGCTAAGCAGAGCAAGCAATAATGTCTGAGAAGCAGGCTGAAGCCAAATTATGGAAGATCTTGAATGTCAACTAAGAGGCACTCAACTTTATTTCTCTGGCCATAGGAAGCTATTGAGAGCTCTTGAATAGGGCAAGGACATCATTAGGGTACTACTGCAAAAGGAATTACTTATTCATTCAGTAAACATTTTTGAGTACTGCTCTGGTTATCCATTGGTATATAACACACTACCCCAAAATTAACAATCTTAAAAGAGCTATTTCATTTTGTTCATGCTTCTGCAGGCCAGCAATTTGGGAAGGGCACTGCTAGGAGGTTCACCTTTCATATTCAAGATGTCAGCTGACAGGTAAAGGATCCACTTCCAAAATGGCTTCTACCACCTGGCTATCCACTAGGAGCTCAGCTGGCATGTTGACCAGAACCCCATCAAGAGGTTTTTCCATGTGGCTTGGGTTTTCTCACAGCCTGATGGCTTCATGGCAGCTCATGGCTCTGAGAGAAAGTGATCCAAGAAGCTTGAACCAAAACTGCAAGGTTCCACCTCAGACTGCTGATTAAGCAGGTCTCTAAGATCATCCTAGATTCAAGAGGAAGGAAATTAGACAATGCCTTTCAATGGGAGGAGTAGCAAAGAATTGGGGACCATCTTTAATCTGTCCTGTGGTAAGCACTTCTATAGGCCAAGTTCTGTATTGCATGCCCAGGACACAAAAATGAGAGCATACAGTCATTTTCAATTTAAGTTTGGTGCCAGTGTCCAGGATGGATTGGAGAATAGGAATCGTTGCTTTTGGGAGACTAGAGAGAGAGGGCTTTGCTGGGGTGTAGAAAGAGTCAGTAAGAGCCCATACCTAAAGAGCACTGATGCCAATGAATAAATGAATAGAGAGATCACTTGCCAGAAGACTGGAGAGGACTTGGTGACTGACTGGACGTGGGGGCTGGGCTGAGGGAGGCCCCTGATGCTTCAGGCCTGCAAGAGACCATACACAGATGAGGAATCACAGATGGAGGAGCTCTGCCACTCCTCCACCCCTTATCTTCTGCCATACACACACACACACACACACACACACACACACACACACACACATACACACCACGAACAGGGCTTGGCATGGTAAGTATTCAGTAAATACTAGGTAAAGTGAAGTGGACTCAGCTGGGGGTCCATGGGATGCCATGGTAGGTTCTTGAGCAAGGGTTGAGATGGGAAGAGTCTTCTGGACCAGAATTGTGGGGCAAAAATATTAGAAAGATACAAGTGCAGACTGGAACACCACATTAGAGACTACATCTAGCCCTGAAGAACAGGTAATCAGAGAAAAAGGAGAGAAAAAGACAAAACTGACATATATTTTAAAGGAAAACAGAAGTTGGATTCAGCCT